AAACATCTGGAGGGCTGACTTTGAGGAAGCCTGCATTAGTGGATTTGAGGTTTTGGTGGCGTACAGGGCAGTTCAGATTTGGAATTATGTACCGTATTTTCCCGTCTATAAGACGCCCCCATGTATAAGACGCCCCCTATTTTGGGGGACTCAGATTTAAGAAAATGGGGGGAGGTGGCCCCGTGTATAAGACTCCCCCTAATTTTTGACATTTTTTTAAAGAGAAAAAAACCTAGTCTTATACACGGAAAAATACGGTGGTAAATATTCTCAGCACTTTTCCTTCTTACGGATGTGGCAGCTGTTTTAAAGTAGTAACCTCCCTGTTATATGGTGATGTGGTTTTCTATATTGGGCTGAGAGGCATGGTTTAGCTTGGCATATGTATATGTAAGAACTTGAGACTGACTTTGAAACACCACTGATAACAACCATTGGTGGTTTATTATTATTATTATTATTATTATATTTATTTTTTTGTTTGTTTGTTTGTTTGCTTGCTTATTTATTTATTTATTTATTTATTTATACTCCGCCCATCTAGCTGGGTTTCCCCAGCCACTCCTACGCAAGTGTTCTGCCTGTCTATTCTTTATGCTTTAAGGTATTTGTTTTTACATTTTTGTGGTTATAATTGGGTATTATTTAGTTGCACAGTGTTGGAGGGGGCTCCCCCCCCCCATATATTTTATTTCCCAGCTTGCTAGGAGTGGAAATGAACACACCCGGAATCAGAGCCTCATCCGCCTGGTCCAACCTTCAGATCCCCTACCCATCCATCTCTATTTATAATTGTTTAATTCGCACTGAAATAGAAAGTAAAGCTTTGAATCAAACTGTGCAGTATCTGCAATATTCTCTTGGTCTGAAAAAGTACCGTTTCTACTGTTGTTTCATTCATATACTTCATTAATGGCAGAGCTCTGCACGGTCACCAGTTCAAAAAGCTTCTTTAAAAACCTTGAAGCAGCTTCTGGAGATTTCGTTTACTGCTACAAAGTGTGCTGACTAAGCAGGGAAGATACATTGAAGAAGTGCTTCTATGCAGGAAGGGAGGAGGTTAAACTTCCTGGAGACCAGAGGGAAGGCTTTACCTAATCTGAGTGTTCCCCAGTGGCTCAATGACCGTACTTTCCTTGTTGGGACGTGGGTGGCGCTGTGGTCTAAACCACTGAGCCTCTTGGGCTTGCCGATCAGAAGGTCAGCAGTTTGAATCCTTGTGACGGGGTGAGCTCCCCTTGCTCTGTCCCAGCTCCTGCCAACCTAGCAGTTCGAAAGCACGCCAGTGTGAGTAGATAAATAGGTACCACTGCGGCGGGAAAGTAAATGGCGTTTCCGTGCACTCTGGTTTCCATCATGGTGTCCTGTTGTGCCAGAAGCGGTTTAGTCCTGCTGGCCACATGACCCAGAAAGCTGTCTGTGGACAAACGCCAGCTCCCTCAGCCTGAAAGCGAGACGAGTGCTGCAACCCCACAGTCACCTTTGACTGGACTTAACTGTCCAGGGGTCCATTAAAGGTGAAGGTAAAGGGACCTCTGACCATTAGGTCCAGTCTGGGATTAGATCCCGACTCTGGGATTGCGGTGCTCATCTCACTTTATTGGCCGAGGGAGCCAGCATACAGCTTCCGGGTCATGTGGCCAGCATGATTAAGCCGCTTCTGGCGAACCAGAGCAGTGCACGGAAACACCATTTACCTTCCCGCCAGAGCAGTACCTATTTATCTACTTGCACTTTGACGTACTTTCAAACTGCTAGGTTGGCAGGAGCAGGGACCGAACAATGGGAGCTCACCCCGACACAGAGATTCGAACCGCCGACCTGCTGATCGGCAAGTCCTAGGCTCTGTGATTTAACCCACAGTGCCACCCGTGTCCCTTTACCTTTACCTTATTTTCCTTGTTGATACCACTGGTCATCTTTCAGATCTCAATGTGAAGCTGCAAAGGGGGGCAGGAATCACATGCACTGTGACTGCCACAATAGATACTGTATGAATGCTTATGGGATGGTTAAAGCTTTTCCAGACACACCTACACTTGCTGAGCGGGGTGGGGTGGGGTGGTCCAAACATACCAGAGATGTTTAGTGCATGTTTTAAAGACCTTACAAATGCAAATTAGACCCCTTTGAGAAGCTTTTCAGTTTCAAAGTGGAAGATGTACCACCTGATACTCATAGAATCATAGAATCATAGAGTTGGAAGAGACCACAAGGGCCATCGAGTCCAACCCCCTGCCAAGCAGGAAACACCATCAGAGCACTCCTGACATATGGTTGTCAAGCCTCTGCTTAAAGACCTCCAAAGGAGGAGACTCCACCACACTCCTTGGCAGCAAATTCCACTGTCGAACAGCTCTTACTGTCAGGAAGTTCTTCCTAATGTTTAGGTGGAATCTTCTTTCTTGTAGTTTGGATCCATTGCTCCGTGTCCGCTTCTCTGGAGCAGCAGAAAACAACCTTTCTCCCTCCTCTATGTGACATCCTTTTATATATTTGAACATGGCTATCATATCACCCCTTAACCTCCTCTTCTCCAGGCTAAACATGCCCAGCTCCCTTAGCCGTTCCTCATAAGGCATCGTTTCCAGGCCTTTGACCATTTTGGTTGCCCTCCTCTGGACATGTTCCAGTTTGTCAGTGTCCTTCTTGAACTGTGGTGCCCAGAACTGGACACAGTACTCCAGGTGAGGTCTGACCAGAGCAGAATACAGTGGCACTATTACTTCCCTTGATCTAGATGCTATACTCCTATTGATGCAGCCCAGAATTGCATTGGCTTTTTTAGCTGCCGTGTCACACTGTTGGCTCATGTTAAGTTTGTGGTCAACCAAGACTCCTACTCAATCTGAGCTGTTAAAATCATAGAGTAATACAGTGGTACCCTGAGTCTCAAACGCCTGGTTCCCAAACCTCAAAAGCCCAGAAGTAAGTGTTCCGGTTTTCGAATGTTTTTCGGAAGCTGAACGTCCAATGTCGGCTATTGTTTCCGGGGCGCCTGCACCAATCGGAAGCTGCGCCTTGGTTTTCGAACATTTCGAACATTTCGGAAGTCAAACAGACATCCGGAACAGATAAAGTTTGGAGCTTTTGTTTTTGCTGTTTATTTTGCGTTTTTGTTTTTGAGGCTTTTTCGGTTAATTTGTTTTTGTGGCTGTGTGGAACCCAGTTCAGCTACTGATTGATTGATTGATTGTGTGACTGCGGAAATGGATAAAAGCCCCCCAGCCAAACAATGACTATCATCAGTGCAAGTAAGGAAAAAATTAAATTTTAATTTTTATCATCTACAATACTGTCTTATTTACTTTACAGTACAGCACATTGATTGTTGCTTTCATTTTATGGATCAATGGTCTCATTAGATAGTAAAATCCATGTTAAATTGCTGTTTTAGGGGTTGTTTCTAAAAGTCAGGAACGGATTAATCCGTTTTGCATTACTTTCTATGGGAAAGCGCGCCTGGGTTTTGGAATGCTTTGGTTTTGGAACAGACTTCTGAAACAGATTAAGTTTGGGAACGAAGGTACCACTATACTGGTTAAAAATAAGGTGGTGTTTTAATATGGTTTGCGTCTTTTAAGTAAGGAACCGAGTTCATTCTACTCTCATGTAATTTGTGCACGTGTTGTCCCTGAAATTGCTTGACATTTAAGATAGCCTTAACGTGCCCTTTTTCCAGCTGCAGATCATCAGCTTTCCAAAAGCACGCACTTTTCCCAACTTCACATTTTATGTCCAGCTACACATAAAACAACAATACCAGACATAGAGCATTTCCCCTGGGAAATTTGGCCAAAACAGGCAGCACTTCTCCCACAGAGCAAGGAAGCTCGTAGCCAAAGACAGTAGCCCTACACTGACACCCAGTGGCGAAAGAAAGGAACTGTGCCTCAAAACTTCTGTTAGATTTCTGTTTTGGTCAAGGGGAAGACTAAGCAGAGCAGCCAAAACACTTTTTATAAAATTGGTAAGAGCAGGGAGCTCAGCTTTCCCAGATATTAGAACTAAACACAATACTAAAAGGTAAAGGGACCCCTGACCATTAGGTCCAGTCTTGACCGACTCTGGGGTTGCGGCGCTCATCTCGCTTTATTGACCGAGGGAGCTGGCGTACAGCTTCTGGCCAGCATGACTAAGTCGCTTCTGGCGAACCAGAGCAGCGCACGGAAACACCGTTTACCTTCCCGCCGGAGCGGTACCTATTTATCTACTTGCACTTTGCAACTTGCACTTTGACGTGCTTTCGAACTGCTAGGTTGGCAGGAGCAGGGACCGAGCAATGGGAGCTCACCCCGTCGCTGGGATTCAAACCACCGACCTTCTGATCGGCAAGTACTAGGCTCTGTGGTTTAACCCACAGCGCCACCCGCATCCTTAACGATAAATTGGTTTATTCACTGAAAACTTCAATAATGCAACCAGGCAACAGTACTTGGCTTGTTTGTGAGATTAATAGCGCTTAGTTTATCTTCTGTTTTGTTAATGCTGCTAATGTTGTTTTATAGATTACAAATGCTGTATCGAATTGTTAATCGGATAATGTGGCATTTGTTTTAGCTTCTTCTTGTTGCCTCGTTAACAGTGTTTTATAGATTGGAATTGTTTCAACGACAATTTGTTAATCATTCTATATGATTTAGGCTGTGTTTGTGATGTTCCATTATGTGCTACTGTGCTATTGTTGTTTATTGTTTGCAAGCCGCTTTGGGGTTCATTTGGATGAAAAATGGCATAGAAATATAATAAATCAAAATTAAATCAAATGGAAAATGTCCAGCAGTGTTTTCCTGTACAGTAAGGGACAGGTGGGACAGGTCCCCAACCTGGCACAAAGGGAAGGTCCCAGGGTGTGTTACAGCATTAAAACAGAATATTAGAAAATATTCTAATTTATAATTTACAATCATAAAAACAAGACTGGTCCTAAATAGATATGTGTTCATTCATAATTTTCTTGGTATGCCGCTTTTCAACACGCAAAAAAAAAAATACTAAAAGGGGCTTATAAAAAAAGAAACAAACAAAGAAATACATTACAAGAAACAAAAACAAACACAAAAAAAGGAATCAATTTCAAAATCAACCATCACAAAAATAGCTTCAGCTCAGGGGCTCATAAAGATTTGCTTTCCAGAGCAAATTATGTTATTGCAGCAACGGCTGCTATTGTGGGATGCAGGAAACTCAACAACTTCTACAGAAGAGAGAGAATGAAGAAACTTAAAACAATCGCTTGGAAACTCCCTGAAATTACTTTAGTTTAATTTTCCAGAGAATTTACTCCTTTGACCCAGAAGGCTCTTTGACCTACGGGGGTTTCTTGGGCATGCTTAGCAATGCAACCAGGCAGAGGTTAAACACTTGCAACAGCAACAGCAAAACCTTTGTACTTGCCAGCTACATGGCTGGCCAATTGACAGAGCAGTAGGTCAAGAATGTGGTGGAAATGTGAATAAACATCTATTATTAATCATAATCATCATCGTCGTCATTGTCATCATCTCATTTATTGGTGGCTTTTTACAGTCTCAAAGGGACTTGACAAACAAATGAAACGCAGTATATGAAAAAAAAATTAAGAGGAGAGAAAAATTAAAGCGCCAACAATACAATATACACAAATGCACAGTAAAATAAGGATCTAGTCCTAACCACGCATCTAAAAGATGAGCACCACCATAGGAGGCAGCATTATTAATTAACAAAAGACCTAGATAAACAGGAAAAAGCTTAGCCTGGTACCTAAAAGCTGCCAGAGATGGTGCTAGGTGTCTCCCTAGAAAGAACATAGGCAAGGGGGCCAACACTGATAAGACCCTTCTTGCCTGACCAAGACCCCTACATTTTCCCACAAGTGGGAAACACAGAGAAGGGCTGGTTCATATACAGAAAGTCCAGTCGGCGCTTTGGGGCAAATATAATATTACACCGGGACTTGCACGTATTACACCTGTGCTGGACACAGAGGAATGGTGGGAGGCACCAGCTAGGGAAGAAGGCTCTGAGCCAGGGGACTGGTGGTGAGACGGAGATGAGTGGTCAGAGGGAGAAGAAGGGGCAGACTGGGAGGAGGAGGTGTCGGAAGCTGGAGAGGCAACAGGGTTTAGTGAGCAGGAAGAGGCTGTGGCAGAGAGCAGTCCAGAATCAAAGGCTGGAGAGGAGGGGGACCAGGAGACGGAGATGAGGTGGGCTGCTGAAGAAACCAGGGAGTCTTCCTTTCTTGCTGCGACCAGCTCCTCTCCTCCCTGGTATCCCATAGAGGAATGAAGAGGGCAGAGCAAAGAGAGACTAGACAGAGCCTCAGCTTGCTGTTGCTGTGGAATAACCAGGGAGAGGAGGAGTCCTAGAGATTGGTGGGAAGGCGAGGACCTTCAGTCCTCAGAACTGCTTCATTGGGGCAAGACCTATTGGGAAGAGTTGCTGGGATCACTAGGCCTGAGCTGTTTTGGTTTCTTTGAATAAAGAGTGAACTTCACTCACACCTGTGGGCTTTTTATTGCTGACCTACTCCAGACTCCAACTCCTGACATCAAGTGCCGTTAAAATATCTGAACGGTGCAATGCAGTAGAAATGGGAACCAGTTACGTAACAAATGAAAACACATCAATAGTCATGTTTCAGAAGAAGCAGACCTCAAAAAAAGGCCTTCGCCTTTCTCAAAACGAAGGGTGAGAGTTTCCAAAACGGTGCAAAAACGATACCGAAAAAGAAATCCCCCAAACTTTTAAAAAAATGTTTGTTGTTACCCAGTCTTGCTCAATGAATAACCCCTCTCAGAGAAACACCTGCAAGATTCCTCCTTTGTGAGGAGTCAGGCCTCACCGCTGCTTCACTTTCCTGGTCACCTGCACCGTACAATAGTGAGAAATAATCTGAACGAGGATCGTGCAGTTGATAAGGAGGAAGAGCAAGCCTGCTAGCCAGATGAGCAAGAAAGTGTTTTGCCCTTTGAACTCCAGAAAATAGGCTGGCGCCAACCACAGACCCTGTCCAAGAAGCCACAGCAGGAGAAGCGTGGCAGCCCGTACCCAAGACATCCTCAAGCGAGGCAGCACAGGTGGAAGGAGGCAAAGGTACCAGAGGAAATACTGGGATGTGCACACTTTGTTGAAGCTCACAAACACCGCAGTCTGCAGGAAGCAGCAGAAGACAAGGTCCTGGTAATAAGCCAAGGATATGACCAACAGGAGGAGGAGCTGCGGGAGGAAGGCCGCAAGTCCAAGGGGTAAACTCCACTCGCTTTCCGCCGTCAGGTACAGCATGTAAAAGTAAGGCGAGAAGTTGTGGCGGATGTCTCGGCGCGTCAGGTGGTAGAGGTAGGTGTGCTCCAGAAACTCCCAGCCGTAACGGAGGTAAAACGCGAGGCCCAGGGCTGCAAACGTGGAACCGGCCACCGTCCCGAAAACCAGGACGTCGCGGCTGGACAACAGCCTTAAGAGAGGCCGCAGGAAGTCGCCGGCGAGCGAGAGCTTCCCCTTCGAAATGTTTGCTTCTCTTCGCTCGGGGTTCCCGCAGCTTTGCAGATGAAGGGCTAACGGCAATGCATAGGTCGCCGGGTAAATCTTCATATGCACGGAGAGGCCGTAAAGAACGGCTGCCATCACTAAGCGCCTCTTCTCCACGTAGTACATGGTGCCAAGGACCAGGCTTGCGATGAGAGATTCCGCATTCCCCCGGCTGGACACGGCCATTGGCAGGGGGTTGAGGAGCCAGAAAGCACAGCAGCCACAAGCCTCCCTGTCTCCCAGGCCTCTGAGAAGCAGGATCTCGTAGATGAGGTAAGCAGCAACCATATCCCCAGCAACAAAAAGGATCTTTCCGTACAGATCAGTCAAGTGAATGTTTGGGGTCAAGATCCAGGCCAGCAGCGGGGTGTAACGGTAAGTGGCTCTCAGGTAGGGAGATTTCCCTTCCGTGACGTACTTGGCGCCATCGGTGAAGACCTGATAGTCGATGTCCGTATATTTCACCAGCATCGTCCTGTCCTGATAAACTCCGTAGAAGACAAGAGCGAGCCTGATGGTGAACGCAGCGCTGAACAGGAGTTCTTTCCTGAGGAATCCGGAAAGGATCCGTTTCCTTAATGTCTGATGTGGCACCATATTTGGGTCTCTTTGAGAGGGGGCATTAAAACAAGAAGCGGATCCCACTGCTGGTCCAGACTTGAGCCATCCTTCACGGTCACTCCTGCCTTGCTGTCGACTTCTTCAGATGCAAATCAAATCAAAAGAGCTCTGTGTAAGTAGCAAACAACCCTGTTTAAGAGACAGTAAGAAAGGTCAGCTGCTATTGGCATTTTGCAAGGGCCTAGCTATTTTACCCTGTGATGGGGGAACCCTTTGGCCTGCCGGCCATGCTTCTTTGTTTATTCAATTTGCATCCCACCCAAAGTAGCCCAGATTATATAAGATCATATTGTACCAACCGCACCATATTAGCACAACTTGAGTGATACTTGTAAACCCAACAAATACTGTTTGTGGAGTAGACAGGAACAATATTAAAGAATATAAAACTGTGCGAAAGGAACGATGACAGTATAAACAGTACAATGAGATGATTGGAAGACTCGTTTTGTCAGAAGTCTTTTTTATTTAAGTGTTTATTTAAGTATTACTTAGGAAGATTACCGTATTTTCCGCTCTATAGGACGCACTTTTTCCCCTTCAAAAATGAAGGGAAAATGTGTGTGCGTCCTATGGAGCGAAGACGCCATAGCCCCGCGACCCTCTCCCGGCTGGAGAGGTGATGCGCGGCTATGGCAGCAGCCTCTCCGCTGCGCCTTTCCGCTCCTCCCTGTCCTGCTCTTTGGGGCTGGTGGGGGGCTCCCCCCCACCAGCCCCAAAGAGCAGGTCGAAAGGAACCTGAAGCCTGGAGAGCAAGAGGGGTCGGTGTGCACCGACCCCTCTCGCTCTCCAGGCTTCCAAGGTAGCCGCCTGAACGGCTACCTTGTTTTAAACGGCACCTTGTTTTAGAGTGGGAAAACAAGAGGGGGAAAATTCTCCCTCTCTCTGCGCAGCGCCTCCTGCCGCTTCACTGAAGGGGCGCTGGGCAGAGAGGGGGAGAATTTTTTTTTCTTGTTCTCCCCCCTCTAAAACAAGGTGCGTCCTATTGTCCGGTGCGTCCTATGGTGCGAAAAATACGGTAAGTTTTTTAATGCACGTAAATCTGCTTTTTCTTCTTTCTGTTTTCTGTATTTTCTTCTTTTCTTGATTTTTCTTTAATTTTCTTTTTGTAGTATGAGATTGCAAATTCTTTGAATATGTGTGTAATTTAAATTAATGAAGATTATTAAAAAAACAAAAACAAAAAACAAAGTAGCCCAGAGTGGCACTCATCAAAATGTCAAAACAATACAATTTAAAATAAGGTGGAAAGCCTATTAAAAGCAATTAAAAACCACCAAAAACACATTTGCAAATATTGGCAAGGGTTCAAAATTGGGCCACAAAGCAGATTTCTCCAGGCTGACCAACATCACAGTTTTTAAGGAAGTCGAAAAGCAAATTTAAAAGAATAATAATACAAGCAGCTCCCACTAGCACATGATCTGCTTGTGTGTGATTGAGCACATCGCAGCGCTGGAAACCCGGAAGTGGAACCTAGAAGTGGGGAGCACCTGGGAGAGGCTCTGTGGAGGGTCCACTTCCCTTTCTGGGTTCCCTGTGCCGCAAGTGTACACAGTTGCACATAAGTACATCATGTGCAAGTGGGGAGTTGCCTGTACAGTGGACGCTCGGGTTGCGAACGTGATCTGTGTGGGAGGCACATTCGCAACCTGCAGCATTCGCAACCCGCAGTATCGCGTCTGCGCACGCACGGGTTGCGATTCGGTGCTTCTGCGCATGCGCAAAGCGCCGAAACCCAGAAGTAACCTGTTCCGGTACTTCTGGGTTCGGGGAGGTGTGCAACCCAAAAACGTGCAACCCGAAGGGTCTGTAACCTGAGGTAAAGGTAAAGATAAAGGGACCCCTGACCACTAGGTCCAGTCGTGACCAACTCTGGGGTTGCAGCGCTCATCTCGCTTTATTGGCCAAGGGAGCCGGCGTACAGCTTCCGGGTCATGAGGCCAGCATGACTAAGCCGCTCCTGGCAAACCAGAGTAGCGCATGGAAACACCGTTTACCTTCCCGCCGGAGTGGTACCTATTTATCTACTTGCACTTTGATGTGCTTTCGAACTGCTAGGTTGGCAGGAGCAGGGACTGAACAACGGGAGCTCACCCCATTGCGGGGATTCGAACCGCTGACCTTCTGATCGGCAAGTCCTGTGCTCGGTGGTTTAACCCACAGCGCCACCTGCGTCATAACCTGAGGTATGACTGTACAATTAAAGCAGAAGCCTGGCTTTTGATTAGTGGAGCTTCCTTGTCTTGTTTTGTAAGCCGCTTGGGAAACACGGCCAGAAGCAGGGAAACTAGGAATCTGAGAGAACGGTGTAGAAGGTACATTATGCAATTTGATAGGTGGTGCTAAGCGGGTCTCGTCTTGTGAGCTGCCTGGGCAGGGACGCCATTTCCCCCAACCTGTTACGTGCAAGAACAGGTTGGGAAACCTCTGTCGGCCTGAGGGCCAGATTACTTAAGTGGAAACCTCTCGGAGGCTGTATTTCGACAGCGGGCAGGACCAGACATGCAGAACCATAAACACGATCAGAAACACATTTCTAACGCATAACCTTAGAACAGAACATGGCACATTCCCAACACACACACACACTCCTAACTCACACTTTTAACTCAAAAAATCAGAGGCACAATTCTACTCACATCCTTCGGGCATGCGTGCATGCACACAGAATGAGGTACGCATTCCAAACTCACACCTTTTGTGCGCACACATAGGGGAAAAATCAGACACAGGGTTCTAACACACAGCCTGCATGCATGCACACAAACAAATGAGGAGACACACACTCTCAAGTCACCTTTAGCATACACTCACAAACAGTCAGAGCCACACAATACACTGAGAGAGGAGAATCTGCACGGAAAGAACAGCTAGACTGGTGAGTGGGAGCAGCCCCAAAACCACATAACATCGGTCTTGAAAGACCTACATTGGCTCCCAGTACATTTCCAGGCACAATTCAAAGTGTTGGTACTGACCTCAACAGCCTCGGTCCTGTGTACCTGAAGGAGTGTCTCCACCCCTATCTTTCTACCCGGACACTGAGGTCCAGCGTAGAGGGCCTTCTGGTGGTTCCCTCATTGTGAGAAGTGAGGTTACAGGGAACCAGGCAGAGGGCCTTCTCGGTAGTGGCGCCCACCCTGTGGAACACCCTCCCTTCAGATGTGAAGGAAATAAGCTGCTATCCTATCTTTAAAAGACATCTGAAGGCAGCCCAGTTTAGGGAAGCTTTTAATGTTTGATGCATTACTGTATTTTAGTATTTTGTTGGAAACCGCCCAGAGTGGATGGGGAAGCCCAGCCAGATGGGCGGGGTATAAATAATAAATTGTTGTTGTTGTTGTTGTTATATAAATGGTAAAATAAGACCCAAGCAAAGAACGGGAAAGACGGAGTATTGAATGGATTGGGAGTGGGAATAAATTGGGAGGCGAGGCCCAGGGTGGGGTAGAAAGGAGGGTCTCATCACTTGGGAGCAGAGGGGGAGGGGTGAGACCCTCCCTCTGCTGCTGAAAGAGAAGGATCTCCTTGAGAATAACTAGAGGGCTGTCCCTGCTGTTGCAGAGTTGCAGTAGCAACAGTGACACAGAGCAGAGAATCAGGAAGCATTTTGAAAAAAACGGATGGCAAGGAAAGGAAGGAAGGAGCCGCGGCTGTCACTGTGCAGAAGGAGATCGCGCGCAAAAAATGATTGACAGAAACCCACTCTTAACGATGACTAAACTTCTGCATTAGAGGTTTTTTTAAGCAGAGGTTCGGTGGCCACCTGTCATGGATTCCTGCACTCTCGGGGTCCCTTCCAATTCTACAGTTCTATGGCTCTATGCATACCCTATTCCATACCCTCCAACATTTCTCCAATGAAAATAGGGGCATCATACCAATTGTCTGTATAGTTAAAGCTATGGTTTTCCCAGTAGTGATGTATGGAAGTGAGAGCTGGACCATAAAGAAGGCTGGTCGCCGAAGAATTGATGCTTTTGAATTCTGGTGCTGGAAGAGACTCTTGAGAGTCCCATGGACTGCAAGAAGATCAAACCTCTCCATTCTGAAGGAAATCAGCCCTGAGTGCTCACTGGAAGGACAGATCCTGAAGCTGAGACTCCAATACTTTGGCCACCTCATGAGAAGAGAAGACTCCCTGGAAAAGCCCCTGATGCTGGGAAAGATGGAGGCACAAGGAGAAGGGGACAACAGAGGACGAGATGGTTGGACAGTGTTCTCGAAGCTACCAGCATGAGTTTGACCAAACTGCGGGAGGCAGTGGAAGACAGGAATGCCTGGCGTGCTCTGGTCCAAGAGTTGGACACGACTAAACGACTAAACAACAATCACCACCACTGAGCTGCGTGCATTTCATGTGCCCACGTGCCCACCTTTCTATTTATGTGCATTTAGCCCGGATATGACCATTCCTTCAAGGAAGGAGAGGGAGCAGAAGTAAATAATGGGGAGGAACAGCGAGCAGGGCAGGAGTAGGACCTTTGCAGGAAAGGGTACCTGTGAGGGTGACTCCGCCGCGCAGGTTGCTCCGGGGAAGAAGGTCCGCGAAGCTGCTTTGCAGCATTTGGAAAGCAAATCTCCTCCAGGAAGCAGGGCTGCTCGGGGAAGCGCATGCGCATTTGCGGAACTGAAGCCCCAGCCTCTGCCCTTCCTCGTCCTGCTTCGCCAGGAGAGCGAGAGCGGGAGGGAAGTGGGCAGGAGATGCGGAGTGAGGGCAGCGCCAGGGCTACATGTTGCCGCACGGCGCATGCTCGGCGCTGCGATGGTAAGTTTTTTTTTTTTATTATTCTTGGGTAGAAGGGACGTGTTTCTATGCCGCTCACGAGCAATAAATAGCAATGCGGTAATAGAGCATCGCAAATGCAGCCCAAATCACACGAAACAACAAATCATCCATAAAACAGTTGCAGCCTAAAAATCAGCAAAACACAACGACAGTAAAAGTCGTCCCATGTGATTAACATGTCTCATGTATATAGCATTGGTGGTTCAGTGGTAGAATTCTCGCCTGCCACGCGGGAGGCCCGGGTTCGATTCCCGGCCAATGCAACTTGACTTTTGGGTTTAATTTTGGGACGTGGGTGGCGCTGTGGGTTAAACCACAGAGCCTAGGACTTGCCGATCAGAAGGTGGGCAGTTCGAATTCCCTTGACAGGGTGAGCTCCCGTTGCTCGGTCCCAGCTCCTGCCAACCTAGCAGTTCGAAAGCACATCAAGTGGAAGTCGATAAATAGGTACCACTCTGGCGGGAGGGTAAACAGCATTTCTGTGCACTGCTCTGGTTCACCAGAAGCGGCTTAGTCCTGCTGGCCGCATGACCCGGAAGCTGTATGCTGGCTCCCTCGGCCAATAAAGCGAGATGAGTGCAGCAACCCCAGAGTCAGCCACGACTGGACCTAATGGTCAGAGGTCCCTTTATAGCATTTATAATCTGAAATAATAATAACAACATCAAAAAAAATAGCAGCTAAAAAGATAAGCATTGTTGTTATTAAGCACGTGTTCTATGTTGTTGATATTTTAATTCACATATTGTAGGATCCAGCACTGGTGCTGCAAACAGCCAAGTCAAGAGCAGAAAAAGGTGGGCATGAATGCAGGAGGGGCAACCCACTCACCCACCCACCCCTTTTATTGCAATGGAACAGCTATAGAGGCAGGATGGCCATTTTTTATTATTATTTTTAAAGATTTTCTTGATTTACAAAAGTGTGTGCAATGTCTCTCTCTTGTATTTTCCCTCCCATGTAACATTTTTACACATCAGTTTCATTTGTTGAGTCATTAGGAAGAAGAGGGGAAAGAGGTGGAGGGGGCAAAGGTGAGTAGGGGTGGGGTCGGGTGGCGATGTTTCTATTTTCTTTACTATATGTAGGGTTTGGTGTCAGCACTGCTTGTGCAGGTTCTTTGCTGTTCACTTGTGTTCCTTTGGTGGTGAGAAAGGTTGGGGTTGGCCTAGGGTGTGGTTATTCATTTGTGGTTGGCTGTGGTGGTCTTTGTTTTCATGTGTGAGTGGGGTGGATGGGTGTTTTGGATCAGGCTTGTTGTTGTTTAGTCGTTTAGTCGTGTCCGACTATTCATGACCCCATGGACCCGAGCACGCCAGGCACTCCTGTCTTCCACTGCCTCCTGCAGTTTGGTCAAACTCATGTTCGTAGCTTCGAGAACACTGTCCAACCATCTCGTCCTCTGTCATCCCCTTCTCCTTGTGCCCTCCATCTTTCCCAACATCAGGGTCTTTTCCAGCGAGTCTTCTCTTCTCCTGAGGTGGCCAAAGTATTGGAGCCTCAGCTTCACGATCTGTCCTTCCAGTGAGCACTCAGGGCTGATTTCCTTCAAAATGGATCGGTTTGATCTTCTTGCAGTCCATGGGACTCTCAAGAGTCTCCTCCAGCACTGTAATTCAAAAGCATTAATTCTTTGGCGACCAGCCTTCTTTATAGTCCAGCTCTCACTTCCATGAAAACCATAGCTTTTACTAAACAGACCTTTGCTGGCAAGGTGATGTCTCTGCTTTTTAAGATGCTGTCTAGGTTTGTCATTGCTTTTCTCCCAAGAAGCAGGCATCTTTTAATTTCGTGACTGCCGTCACCATCTGCAGTGAGCCCTGCATGGCATAGCTCATAGCTTCTCTGAGTTATTCAAGCCCCGGCAAGGCAGTGATCCATGAAGGAGTTGGATCAGTTTAGCCATATTGATTTGTATGCTGTTGGTGGATTTTTGTCATTGACTTGTTGGGCTGTGTATGTGATAAAGGGGAGCCCTACCGGGGTGAAGGTGTCTTCTTCTGTTTGTCCCCGTGTCAGTTTCAATTTATTGGTTAATTTTTCTAGTAGGGCTGTTTCCCATACTATTTGGGAGGCATAAGCATGCAAGCAAGGTGCAAAGCAGGGCTGATGGGGGCAGAGAGAGGGGGCGTGGCCTGGGAGAATCTCAAAGGCCAAATGAAGGCGGCCAAAAGGTCAAATTTAGCCCCTGGCCCTTTTTAAAGGACAAGGACAGAATCTGGCTCCCTCTCAACAAGAGGATGGTGGGCGGGGGTGGGATTCATCTACCAAAGTTAGGTCGTTTGAATGCCTTTGGATGGGGCTGCCCTCCCATCCTAAAGGAACAAGCTTTACATTAACAGCTTCTGGCTCAGTTGGTAGAGCATGATACTCTAAATCTCAAGGTCGTACTGAAATGTTTTGACCAGTTACTTAACTTATAAATTGAAAGTGTTGCTTCTGTTGTAGCAGTAGTTAATTAGAAACCTCTATGTAAGCAAGATAGTTCGTTAGGGTAATACATTGTGTTAAGTAAATAATATTTTTTTCCCCAAGTATCTGAAAGCAATAAGATCATATGGCATGGATCATGGGGCGACCCAAATATCCTCCATTTAGTCTAT